TAGGCCTTCAACACTTACGAAGAGTATGTTATTGCCCTCCTGGACGTGCCCACTCAGGGCCACAGTCCCATTCTCTTTGCTGCGGCTGATGTAGATGTCCCTATCATTGGAGACAAATGTGAAGCAGGAACTCTACCTCTGAGTCACATCCCCAGGTCCCTGGGCAGGGATTTCTGTTAATTCTGTTCCCAGATGAACCCTAGCTCTGCAAGCTGCCCTGGCTCAGAGAAGACCATCCACAGGGTTTGTCGCTGGAAGGGTCGTGTGTCCTTTCCCACTGGACTGAGACCCTGTTGGGTCCTAGTTTCCCCCATCTGGTAGTGGCCTGAGTGTGCTCACGCCAGGTCGCTGTGTGGCAGCAGCTGCATCAGTCTGAGGCACAATTATTGCCGAACAGTTCTGTCATCTGAGTCTCAAGGCTGCCCGGTTTCGTTTCAAACCCCACACACTGACTTTCCAGAAATTTTAATTTAGTCAGCATTTTGGCCCTAGTTTGGAGCCTCAAGTCATTCCTTGAAGTGGTAAGTTGAAAACAAACCGCGTCACCTTAGGAAACACTCAGAAGAGCAGTGTGATTAATGTGGTTGGGTGACTATGAGATGCTTTGAACTCTGTGTGTGAACTTGTTTCCCTCGTCCCTTTTCTCGTTTTCAACCTTTTTTTGTGTGTGTTTCAAAAGTAAGCAGAAGATTTCTACCTCCCTCAGTGCTCAGATGACTTGCCCCCAAAGGATCTCACTGTTAAATAATAGTGAGACAATTCCCATGCCTGTTACAAGAGGGGAGGCTCAACACACATCCCCATGAAGTTCCCATTGGCCTTATGGAATTGGAGAATAAGAGAAGCTAGAAACGTCATGGGGTGTGACTCCCTTTCCCCTGACCCTGCAGGTGAGAAGGCTTCCCCAGACTTCACCCCTCCAGAGACTGGCAGCTGGGCTCCACAGCGAATAGTGCTCTGAGGCCAAGGTGCAAGGTGAGTCCCACAAAGCTCACTTGTCATTAAGAAGGAAGTTTCCCCAGGATGTGATAGACAAGGTGCTCTTGTCTATGATCCTGAAGGCACTGTCTTCGATACTCTGCAGGTTTGGGAACACATGCGGTAGAAGCAAGGGGTTGCTTGTCCTCCAACAGATGGTGTTCTGGGAAATGGCTAAAGCTTCCTGCTCTGGTACAATTGGCTTGAAACACTAATCCTGGCAGTTGAAGAGAACATCCCATTCTCCACTTGGCTTGTTATCCCATTTTGCGCAACGTGGAAATGGCTTGGGTCGTTATCAGGAACCTGTCATGTCACCACGTTCCAAGTTACCAGAGAAGGAATCACGAGTTCTGTCTCTGAACCTGTCTCTCATGTAGCAGTGTGTAACGTGTGGTTTTCAGAAGTTCATACCATGAAACCATGGGTATCTTGGAGATGGAGGTGATCTTATGAGATAGTTCACTATCATCGGCCCAACCCACGTTTCTGGTAAATGATCTGCGCACTTTCATCCTGCATTTCCTGCTGGACAGTTGGGCCCATCCTCTTTCCCTGGCCAGAGATGGCCTTTCCCGGCATCCCTTTCTTTTCCCCAGCCCCAACTTCTGATTTCAGATGTGTCCAATGGGAGGAAGGGTCCGAAGGGGTCTGGATACAG